AGCAAACGCAAGCAGCCCACACCTTCCAGGGGCAAAAGGCTAGGAAGCTGTGAAACATCCCCTCTGGGGTTCCTCCTGGGCTACGTGGTCTGTGAAGCTTCTCTGCTCTCTGGGAGCCCTTGATCATGTGGGGCTAGGGACCGGCCACACCCCACAGCCTGATCTTCCTGCTGGGTTCCAGGCTTCCCGCCCAAGCTCCTTTGAACAAATACTCCCAGCTCCTGACCTCAGGCCCCAAACAGAAGGCTCTAGCTGGTAATCTCACAGAAACACCTGCAGGTACCGTGGCAGTGAGACAGGGTGCTCCGACAAGTTTGGTCCCAAGAAATGCCATCCAGGCCTCCTCAAACAACTCTTGGCCTAACTTGGAGCCTCTCCTGAGGGTACCCAAGCTACAAGCTCAGAGCACCAGGCTGAGGCAGGCTGGGTTGAAGGGAGCAGCTGCAGGTGCACCCAGCAGGGAAGAGCCCTGTGGCCCCTTCTTCTCCCTGTGCACGGGAAGGATGGTTAACACCACTGGATGTACACCTCAGGACTTAGAAGAGCTTCTGGAGGCCAAGACAGGAGTAGGTCCAGGGGGGATGAGCAGGAGTCCAGCCAGAGACTACTAGAAGCCAGAGAGATGAGGGTCTGGAGAAGCCCTCCAGGTAGAGCCTAAATCATTCTCTACGATCAGACCAGGCCCAAGCTGAGTGTACGCAGCTGGCATCCTCTGGTCTCACTGGCCACTGCCCTGCAGCCCTCTGGGGGTCCAGAGAGGCCCTAACAGACGCAAGGCAGAAGCCTTGGGAGCTCTGTACCATGGGGAAGGGAGAAGTCCTCCCCCACGCCTCTGCCATGGAGTCTTGCGATGGAGAGGGATGAGAGCCACATCAGACCCCTCGTAGCAGCAGCACACCTACCCATGTAACAGCCAGGGACCAGTGGGCCAAGTTCCAGCAAGGCCCTGGGAGTGAGGTGGTGCCCTCAGGGTACTGCTGTCCCTGTCCTGGTCCACAGAGCCGGAAAAGGTCTGGGGGCTGCGTCCAGGGGTCTCCAGAGCAGAGCGAACACCTTGACTTCGGCAATGACCAGCAGGTGGGCACAGATAGGCAGGTGGGTGCCTGGTGCTTCCCCAGTGCCCTAGGCATCCACATCCGGGCCAGGCTCCTGGAAGAGCGACTGCTTCCTCAGGGTGAGCCGGGCGCACTTTGGACACGTGGTCGAGTTGTCATAATAGCAGTCCCTGGGGGGAGGGCAGGGAGACAGGTTGGGGCTCTCTGCACACAAAAGCCAACCCTTGAGCCTTCACTAGCTCCCTACCCCTGCTCCTGTCATGCCCTCTCCAGTGGGGAAGTGAAGGCTCGGAGATGTACCCAAGGGCAGAGGAGGGGTCTGGCCTCGAGGCTACGTATGCTGCACTGTTTTTTTCTGTTTTGTTTTGTTTTTCTTTAGAGGTTTTTGCCATAGGGCGCGTGCGCTCGCCAGACAGAGACAGAGAGACAGAAAGCGAGAAATCACCCCCCAGGGGGGGTGGCCACGCCACAATCCCTTGTCCTCCATTCTCCTCCCGGGATCTTGGGCATGTATGCACACGCGCCCGGCGTGAGTTTTAAGCCACTGGGTCTGGGACGCGAACCATGCTCAACTACGTGGGAGTCCAGTGACATAGCCATTACACTAACTGCTGGTCCCCGCTGCACTCTGACTTGGCGGTGGCTGTGGCCTCCCCCAGAGGTCTCCAGGTTACCATCGACCCCCGACAATGCAGCTCCCAGGTAACATGGCTGAAGGGGCAGAACCTGGCGGCTCTACGCAGCTCCAAGCTGACCCATCTGTTACCACCTGTTCTTATTTTTTCTTTTTTGGGGGAATATCATTTATTTAATTTTATGTATTCTTCCTCTTCAATTTGACCAGAGATGGGGGAGGAGGAAGTGAGAAAGCAAGCTATCAGGTCCAGGACTCAAATCATGGTTGGCCATGTGGGAGTCCAGCACCCTGACCACCATGCCACCTGCTGGCCCCACCACCAGCTCTTAATACCACTGTGTGATGCCTCCACTGCAGTCCCTAGGCGGTACCATGGCAGGAGGGTGCGGGAGGCCTGCAGAGAGCACGGCTCTCTGTGACAGCAGTCAGACCCTGCACCGCTGCTAGCTCAAGGGAGCGCAGTTTCCACACCTGATTTTGCCCTGGCCCTTCCGAGACATCGCAAATTTGCAGAGCCGGGATTCTGGCAGCTGCAATGATAACAGCAGATACCAGATAAAAATCAGTGTGGACAGAGATGGGAGGTTCCCATCAGACTCACAGTCGAGAAGCTATGCAGGACCACCAAATACTCACATATCATAAAACACATGATCTTTTTAGTTTGCTATCAGGCACATGTGCTCTCCAGAGACAGAGACAGAGACAGAGAGGAGGAAAGTGAGAAATCACCTCTCAGGGGGATGGTCTTGCCACATCCTTCTCCTCCACTCTCCTCTCAAGATTTTTGACACACATGCACATGTGCCTGGTGTGTTTTTCAAGCTGCTGGGTCCAGGACTCGAATTGCACAGTTGACCATGTGAGATCCACATGCCTTAACCCCTGTGCCACCTGCTGGCCCCTATATGATCATCACTTTTTTAAAAATTGAAATATTTTTCAGGTGACTAAGGTGGCTAGATCCCACACAACCAGCCATATGGTCCAAGTCTGGACCTAGAGGCCTGAAAACATGCTGTGAGTGTACATATGTGTGCCCAAAACCCTGAAAAAAGGAAGGTGAAGAAGGGACTGTGGAGTGACCCCTATTTCTCTGATGAGTGCACACGTCCTCTGGCAAAAACTGAAAAAAAGAAAAATATTTTTCTTCTATGTGTGCTATTTTCCAAAATAGCCACTAAATATTAAAATATAAATATTTATGAGGCCAGCAAGTGGCATGGTGTTTAAGGAGCTGGTTAGAGTCTCGGATCTGGCAGCAGAAAATCATGCCAGGCACGTGTACATGTGTGCCCAAATCCAGAAAGGAGACAGAAGGAGAGGAAGTGCAGCATGGCCATCCCCGGGCAGGCGGTTTCTCACCTTCCCTCTCTCTTTCTGTGTTGTGAGGACATGCACCCTATAGCAAAAAAACAAAAATTGCATACATATACATATATACACACATACACACACATGCACATGTGCACACATGCATACAGTAAACATGTACATATATGTCACACACATACACACGCCTGTGTGCACACATACCACATACACATATGTGCATATATGTATGTGTATACCCACATGTGTGCACACACAAACATGTATGCATACAGATTCACACACATATATCCACATACATATGCACGCACATACACATTATATACACACATACAATATACAGACATATATACACGCACTATATATGTGTATGTATATGTATATACATATACATATACATACTATTACACCTAAAATGTTGTTTTACTTGCTGTGAAGAATTGTTACACTTGATACATTGTTTAATGGCTAAGTTAGTCGTTTGCTGTGAAGAAAATGTTTGATTTTAACGCTGCTCGCTGAGAGCATACCTGACTCCATTTTGTAGTACATTCAGCCTGGTGTTAGCCATGTTCCTGGAAATTCGACACTCAGCCAACACCCTAGTGCTTATCACTGATAAGAGGCAAGCCATACACTGACCAATAACATGAGGGACATGAGCATGGTCCCTGCTCCACTCGCCCCTCATGACTGGCAAAAATGTCCCACTTTGTTCTGACCCAAATCTCATAGACTTACATATAAAATATTCTTTTTTTTTTCATTCTTTTTATTTATTTTTTTTTTTTGAGAGATTCTTGCTGGCGTGTGCTCGCCAGACAGAGAGAGACAGAGAGACAGAAAGCGAGAAATCACCCCCCAGGGGGGATGGCCACACCGCAATCCCTTCTCCTCCATTCTCCTCTAGGGATTTTGGGCACGCACGTACATGCGCCTGATGTGACTTTTAAGCCACCAGGTCCAGGACACGAACTGCCGTTGACTATGTGGGAGTCCAGCGACATAGCCATTATGCTAACTGCTGGTCCCCATATAAAATATTCTGTTCTGTCAAGTCACCATGAGCCTGCCAAAATGTGGCATACAAAGAGGAGCCTGAGCCCAGCTCATCGGCTCTGTCCTCCACTTGGGCCAGATCCCATCTCACTGCATCTGAGACCCTCCCTTGCAGCCGGAGGCCCTGTCAGGTTTGCACACTGACTCCTCCTGCCCAGATGGCCCTCCGCTCCGCCTGATGCTCCGGTGTTGGCCACTAGCCCCGATCTCCGACCTCCGTACTCTAGGATCACTGGGTGGACTTCTCCTCGCTCACCCTTGGGCATCTCGTGGCCACTGCCACCATCGTTCCCTAAGATCTTCGTGGAGCTCCTCCCCGGCTCACTGCCTATGCCCCGTAGACACCCAGTGGACTTGGCACCAGGCCTCCTCTTGCCCTTGCAGACTGCACTCCTCTCGCTGTGCCAGCACAGGACGCCCTGTGCCGCTCGTCCCATCGTGACTTGTAAACCCCTTTTCCCCGTGTGATTACAGCAGCTCAAAAGGCAAACCTGAGTCCTGTCCTCTTTCCGTGGGCCAGAGCACTTTCTGGCTGTAACTGCTTGGGCAGCCGACAAACGTGAGTCGAACCGTCACTAAGTCGTGCTTAAACTCTCCTTCTCTCTCACTCCCTTTCCAAAATCCCCTTCCTTGCCGCTGCTCCGCACGACAAATTCTGCTGAAGCACAACACACATACACATTTACGGGGCATCTGAACATAAGCACTTGAACAAGCATGTTAGATATATGTGCACACACATACAGTACACACACATACACACCTATACACACATACACATTTATACGCACATACATATACAGTACACATACATACACACCTATACACACATACACATATATACACACATACATATACAGTACACATAGATACACACCTATACACACATGCACATATATATGCACACACATAAACAGAACACATACATACACACCTATACACACATACACATATACATGCACATACATATACAGTACACATACATACACACCTATACACACATACACATATATACACACATGCATATACAGTACACAGAGATACACACCTATACGCACATACACATATATACGCACACACATAAACAGTACACATGAATACACACCTATACACACATATACATGCACATATACAGTACACATACATACACACCTATACGCACATACATATACAGTACACATACATACACACCTATACACACATACGTATACAGTACACATACACACACACCTACACACACATATATACACACATATACAGTACACATACATACACACAACTACACATATATACACACATACACATATATACACATACATACACACCTATACACACATACGTATACAGTACACATACACACACACCTATACACACATACACATATACACACACATACATATACAGTACACATACACACACATACACACATACACATATACACACACATACATATACAGTACACATACATACACACCTATACACACACCTATACACACACATACATATACAGTACACATACATACACACCTATACACACATACATAGACAGTATACATACATACACACCTATACACACATACACATTTATAGGCACATACATATACAGTACACATACACACACACCTATACACACATACGTATACAGTATACATACATACACACCTATACACACATACACATATACACACATACATATACAGTACACATACATACACGCCTATACACACATACACATATATACGCACACACATAAACAGTACACATACATACACACCTACACACATATACACACATACATACACACATATACATTTATAAAGCATTTGAACATAAGCACATGAATAAGTGTGTTAGATATATGTACACACATATACACACATACACATATACATTTACAAGGCATCTGAACATAAGCACTTGAACAAGTATGTTAGATATATGTACACACATATACACATATATACACACATAATAAATATACACACACATACATTTAGGAGGCATTTGAACATAAGCACTTGAACAAGTATGTTATATATACACACGTAGTACACACGTATATACACACATACACACATACATAAGCCCTTGAACAAGTATGCTAGGTATTTCTATTGGCCTAGGGACACGGAAAACATCACTGAGAAGTAAGGGTGCCAGGAGCTACAGAGTTGGGGAGCCTCTGGCCAATGCCAGCCCTGAACAGTACCTTTGCCCTGCAGGAGAAGGGAGCAGACAGATGTGGGGCCCTGTCTGGGCCAAGCTGGAGCCTCTGGAGACCGCCCAGTGCGGATAGGGAAGCGCCCCGCCCCGCCCCGCCCACAGGCGCTCACACCCCGCCCACAGGCGCTCAGCTCCAAATCAGCAAAGGGCTTTGACAGAAGCAGTAAAGCCCTGAGCGTCTGCCCGTGGTCTCCCTCAGGGCAGCAGTGCAGGCTCCCCAGACCAGCCACAGCGGCCAAGGGAAGGCCCACCCTCCCCACAACCGCAGGTGGGGCCTCCCCGGCCTGGGGCCAGGTCAGAGGGTGGGGTCTGAGCCACACCCACCTGTGGAAGACGGCGGAGCAGTCGGTGCACACGGACGTGTGGCTGTCAAAGGGGAACAGCACGTCACCCTCTCGGCAGAGCTCGCACACGAAGCCCTTGGCCTGGCACCGCTGCGGGGACAGGGAGGGGTCGGGGTCGGCGGTAAGGCCCAGCTCCGCAGCCAGGACACACCAAGCCGAGCGCTCCTTCTGCCAGTCCTGCCCAGGGGCCCCTCTGGAGCAGACACCGTGAGGGCAGCCCACCTCGCAGTCCAGCTTGATGTGCTTGGCGAAGAGCGTGTGCGTCTCGGTGAGCGAGCAGCTGAGACGGCCCAGGTGCACCTCCAGGAGGTCCTGGATGGAGTACATCTCATCGTTCTCCACGAAATGCTGCCGGTCCTGGAGCTGCCAAGTCCCAGCAATCGTGACCCCAAGTCCCAGGCAGGGACCCAGCCCTGCTCACCATGGCTACTCCCAACATCAGGGCCACGGAAGCAGAAAGCTTTAGTGTCTGGGGCCCAGGGAGAAGATGGGGGCCAGGGCTTCGTCTGGGGCTGTAAGCCCGCCCCCCCAGGCACTCCCCTCTGCCGCCTCCCCCCACACCCTCCCTGCCCGGACTTCCCTGTGTAACCCTACATCCTGGCACTCCCCTCCTGCCTGCCCTGTTCCCTCCCCAGAACACACAGCAGTGTCTGAGTATCCACTGAGCAAGTATAAATAGGGGAGCCCCAAAAAGTGCGGACCAGCCCCGTGGCTCCTGATTAGGCAGCAAGATCCTGCACGGCCAACCCTGTGGTTCAAGATCAGACCCAGTGGCCTGAGGAACATTCTGGGCACATATGTGTGTGCGTGTCCCAAAGTCCCTGAAGGAGGGAGAGATGGAGGAGAAGGGATTGTGTCATGACTGTGCCCCATGGAGGGTGCTTTCTCCTCCCCCTCTCTCTCTGGTGACACAAGGGCCCTCTAGGGAAACAAAAGAAGAAAGAAAAAGAAGGAAGGAAATAAATTGGGTTTTATGGTCAACCTGCCTAAGGAGAGCCAGAGTGGCTCCTCTTCCTTGGAGGGCAAGAAAGGCTGCAGGGGGACCAGCAAGTGGCATAATGGCCATGTCGCTGGACTCCCACATAGACAACCGCGGTTCGAGTCCCGGACCCAGCGGTTTAAACTCACGCCGGGCATGTGTGTGTGCGTGCCCAAGACCCTGAGGGAGGATTGGAGGAGAAGGGATTGCGGCATGGCCATCTCTCCTGGGGGGTGACTTCTCACTTTCTGTCTCTCTCTGTCCTTCTGGTGAGCGCACGTGCCTCTCCAAACAAAGGGAAGAAAGCTGCAGGGATGATGCACACTGCGGCATCCATACCTGGTACCGTCTGAGGCAGTGCAGGTGGGGCACCCATCTGCTCCCCTGCAGGCAGGCAGAGCACACACAGGCTATTGAGTTATCTGAAAGCGCTATGAGTGGGAGGTGTCCCCATGGCCCTAGCTCCGTGGCCCTCAGGCCGTCCCTCCGGTGGCCTGACCTGCAACAGCAGCCGTGCTTCCATGGCCTCCTTGCACGTGACGAAGTATGGCTTCATGAGCAGGATGTCCTGGCGCAGCTTCTGTGGATGGGCGCACATGGCCTCCTCAGCCAGGGCATGGCACTTGCAGTGGCCTCACCTACGCTGGCGGCCAGTGGGGTTCGAGGAAGGAGCCCTCAAGTTCTCTGGGGAGTCCCAGAGCTGAGCGCTCCAGCCAACCTCAAGTTCAAATCCCAGCTGCTGGGCGTGGCTGGGCCTTGGAGTTGATGGCCCTTCACCCAGAGCCCTCCTCTCGGCCCACCCAGCCACGCAGGCACACAGTGCTGCCTGTCTAGGAGCCTGATCCCATGCTGGCCCTGAGGCTGCAGGCTCCTAGGCCTCAGGGCCAGCATGGGATCAGCCTCACCCCAGCCCAACCTCCTGCCACCTCAGCTCACTCGGCCTCAGTCCTCCGCTCTGTAAGGAGCCTCACCCTTTCACCGCCCTGACCGAGACAGCCACTCACGTGGACTGCAGCACCAGGTGCTCTCAGCCCTGGCTCAGCCTCCTCCATCGCTAGTGGCTGAGAGTGACCTGAGTACTTGAAGTGATTGGTCCTGATGAAGATGGGTGTAAACGTAGGGGCCAGCAGGTGGCATGGTGGTTAAGGACACTGGACTCCCACATGGCCGACTGAGGTTCAAGTACCAAACCTGGTGGCTTTGCCTCTCTTGCTCTCTTCCTCACTACACTCTGTCCCTCTCTGGTCAAATTCAAAATAAATAGTTAAATAAGGTTAAATAAAATAATTCTTAAGAAAAAAAAGTATAGAGTACACCCTGGGATTTTAGGGCGTCGCTGGTGGTTGAGGGATGTCCAGCCCCAGTTTAAGTTCCACACCAGGCACATGTGCATGCCCCAAACCCTGACAGGATGGGGAACGGAGGGAAAAGACTGTGGCTTGACCACACCTCATGGGGAGGTGCCTTTCTCTTCTTCTCTCTGGATACGCTCTCTGGCAAGAAAAGAAACTAAAACATTTTTAAAAGATGTGTTGGACAGGCCCTGTGGTGTGACAATAACACACTGCCCGAAAAAAGCTGCCAGCAGGGAACCAGCAGTTAGCATAATGGCTGTCGCTGGACTCCCACGTAGTCGACCGCGGTTCGCGTCCTGGACCTGGTGGCTTAAAACTCACGCCGGGCGTGTGTGCATGCGTGCCCAAGATCCTGAGAGGAGGATGGAGAAGGGATTGTGGCGTGACCATCCACCCTGGGGGGTGATTTCTCACTTTCTGTCTCTCTGTCTGGCGAGCGCACGCACCCTATAGCGAAAACCTCTCCAAAAAAAAAAAAAAAAAAAAAGCTGCCAGCAGATGGCTCAGTGGTTACGTCACTGGACTCCTGCATGATCAACCACAGTTCAAGTCCTGGACCTGGTGGCTTGAAACTCACACCAGGTACGTGTGCATGCATGCCCAGGGCCTGGGAGGAGAACGGAGGGGAAGTGATCCCAGCATGGCCATCTCCCCTGGTGGGTGATTTCTCACTTTCCCTCTCACTGTCTCTGTCTCTCTCTCCCCAGCAAGTACATATCCACTAACCAAAAGACAGAGCTCCAAAAAAGCAGCTGGACCCCACAGCAATGACAGCCAAGTCAACACGAGGTGCTCCAGGCTGGCATGCAAGTGCCTCAGACCCACGACTGGAGGGGGGAAGAAGGGATTGCACGTGACTGTGCCCACGGGTGCTTGGCTTTCTCCTGGAGTGCACGTCCACTCCGTCATGAATAAAGTAAAGGTGTAGCATAAGAAGAAGGAGGAGGACCGTAGCTCAGTAATTGTGGGTATCAGCTGCATGTTGAAATAATCGTTTTGAGACCAGCAGTTGGCATAATGGCTATATTGCTGGACTCCCGTGTGGTTCGAGTCCTGGACCTGGTGGCTTAAATTCATGTCGGGTGCATGTGCATGCGTGCCCAAGATCCCAAGAGGAGGAGAAGGGATTGCAGCGTGGCCATCCCCCCGGGGGATGATTTCTCGCTTTCTCTCTCTCTGTCTCTCTCTGTCTTTCTGGCATGTGCACACCCCCTATAGCAAAAACCTCTTAAAAAAAATTGTTATTCCAAGTAACATCACCTGTTTCTTTTTATTTTTTTAAATGTTAAACATCATTTATTTATGCATGTATATATTCATTTGTCGTGATTCTTCTAGCTGCCCAGTGCAGGACGCAAGGCACATCCTGTCACATGGGAATACACCTCCTTAACCATCACACTGTGCTGCCTCCTCCTTTTTTTCTTTTCAGTTTGCTACAGGGCACACGTGCTCAGCAGAGATGGGGGAGTGGGAACCACCCTGGGAAGATGGTCACACTACAGTCCCTTCTCCTTTGTCTTTTGGGATTTGGGGTACACAGGCATGCATGTCTGCTGTTTTTCAAGCCAATGATCTGAACCACTGCTTCAGGACTTGAACCACATAGTTGGTCCTGTGGGATCCAGCCACCTTAATCTCCATGCCAACTGCTGGCCCATTTTTTCCCTTTTTTTACCCCTAAGATTTTTGCCATAGGGCATGTGTACTCTTCACAGAGAGACAGAGACAAACACAGAGACACAGAGACAGGGTTAGTGAGGAATCTCCCCCGGGGGGATGGCCATACTGAAATCCCTTCTACTCTGGTCTCCTCTTGGGATTTTGGGCACACATGCACATGCACCTGGCATGTTTTTCAAGCTACCAGGTTTGGGACATGAACCACAGAGTCATCCATGTGGGATCTGGTGCCTTAACCACCATGCTACATGTGGGCCCTTTTGTTTTTTTCCCCTTCTAGCTTTTTGCCAAAGGGTGCTTGTACTCACCAGAGACAGAGAGGGAGAAAGTGAGGTAACACCCCCAGGGGGTTGGCCACACTGCAATCCCTTCTCCTTTCTCCTCCTGGGACCTTGGGCACGCACACACCCAGCTCTGGGACTCAAGCTGCAGAGCTAGCCACTTGGGATCCATCCCCTTGATCATCATGCCACCTGCTGGCCTGCTGGATCCACTACTCTGGACCGAGGCTCCTGTATCTTCACTCTGAGCACAGCCCAACCTGTGCCTGCAGGTCCCTCCTCTGCTGGGGACCTCCCACAGCCCACACCCCAAGGAGACGCCCGCCTCACCCGGATCTCCACCAGCTCCTCCACGTAGCTGAAAAGCAGTGGGTTGATCTCTCGGAGCCTGAGCACGGGCCGCGATGCCATGAGCGCCAGGTAGCGCATGCTGCTGCGGGACACCTGCAGGGGCAGCCCGTGGTCCCCCAGCACTGCCCCGGGGAGCACCCCCACTGTCCCGGGGCGCCCCCCACCGTACCTGGGCGCCCCCCCACTGTACCTGGGCACCCCCCACTGTACCTGGGCACCCCCCACCGTAACCGGGGAGCGCGCAGCACAGCCG